GGGTGACTGCATTCAATTTCAATTTCATTCCAATTCATTTTTCACCGGTAGTTTCAACCGCTCTTATCTATGGAATTTTAGGGTAAAAATTGCCTCTGCAGCATTGAAAATATACTTTCACGTGAGAGCTACTCGATGAATGATTTTGTAGACGCCTGCTGAGCTACGGCATAAGCTATGGATCGAGTTCTTCGGTGAAACAGGCCTGGACTACGGTGGTGTGACTCGAGAATGGTTCTTTCTGTTATCACACGAAATCTTCAACCCCTACTACGGTCTTTTTGAGTACTCAGCGACGTAAGTTGCTTTAAGTTGCTTATTAATGGATTTTATCGCCAGGTAACTGAATATTCGTGGGAATCGTGTTTCTCATGGGAATACTCATGATGCCTGTAAAAACCCATGCAAGTTGTAGTTAGTGCGTCTGTTACAACTATTAATAGTTTTGAGAATGAGTCAACGGAACGGGACTTTTGTTAAAGTACTGTGAAATCGCTAAAGACTGAGAATAGTGGAGGGAGATTAGCAGGAGTGGCTGGTTTCTCAAATAATAATCTGAAGTTGGACAAATCACTACTCAATAGCAAGAGAGATGAACAGAAAAAGAAAGGAAAATAGTTTAGTAAAAGAGTAAAAAGGGAAAAGTATCGTGCGGAGGATGACGACGCATGAGGTTAAGTTCCATTCGTGATGGAAGCGAAATATCAGAAAAATTGCAAAGGGAAGGTAGAGAGTTGCGTAGGGATGTGAAGAGAGTATTGGATTTTGAAAAGAAATGAAGTAAGCAAATGTGAGCAATCGAAAAAGTAGTAATAAATGTCGAGATCGTGGGAGATATTCGGTTTGTTTCAGAGACAATTATACGTTACAAATTAATCCACATTCTGCTGCCTGCAATCCAGAACATCTGTCATATTTCTATTTTATTGGAAAAGTGATGGGCATGGCTATATATCATGGAAAATTATTAGATGGTTTGTTGCCTCTTATTCGCCTTTATTATTGCTCTATACTCAGGAAGGTCATTTTTCAGCGTTTTTCATTCGGCCATTCTACAAAATGATGCTTGGCAAGAAAATTACGCTTTTTGATATGGAATCCGTCGACAATGCCTATTATAATTCTTTAATTTATATTAAAGACAATGATCCTGAAGACCTCGAACTCACTTTTGCCGTCGACGATTGCGTGTTTGGCGAAGTAAGTCTGAGGCTTCCAACTTTCAAGAGAATTGGGCTGAAATTCGTTGTTCACACAATGTGTGCCCACTCTTTTTTGCCACTTCTCGTTGTAGGCTTAGTCATCCCTATCATCTCAGTAAGTCTCGATAAGATCTTTTCGAAAAATCTTACAACGCTCAAACGAAAAGCCCGTCTGGAAAATGGGATTTGTGAGCAGCTGATAGGCCCAGCGAACAGATCTGGGTAGTTATGTTACACTCCCTGCTTGATTTGTATGGGAAATGCATGTCAATGCGGTGAGATTCACCTAGGTCATTCCGCTTCTCACTGCGCGCCCATAGGAACAGCCGGCGTGGGAAGACGATGCCAGTTCTCATCCCGTCTGTGCCCCCTCACCGAAGCGTTTGACATCTACTAGAGTAGAGCGTCGAGCGCCAAACGCCGTCAGTTGACGGTCTTGCCTGGCATCAAGCAGTGTCGCTCGGCTCTGTTGACGATGCAGGTCATCGATCGATACCATACAGGATAGCAGTGGATCTTTTCTTGATTGGGCACTTTCATTCTTCAACGACGTGCGTTGCTTCAACCAACGTGCGGTTGACCAACAGCGTTGCTGGCCACGCGTTGACACCACTGGGCATCTATAAGTCGACGCGGCGGCCGTGATCTGGCATTGTCAACATTGTCAACGCGTGGCCAAGAGCGCTATCGATCGGTTGCACGTCGGTTGAAACAACGCTCGTCGTTGGAGTCTGGGAGCGCCCAGCGAGTTTTTTGGCGTCATGTATTTCATTTTCACTCAAACTTTCTTGGTACACAGTTTTATTTTACATGTATTTAACATCTCTCTGTGCGCTTGAGTACGGTGATGCACCTCTCGATAATATTTCGTATCTAGGACTAGACTCTTTTTGACTGTTATGGTAATAATAATTGATGGTAACCAGTAATGTGTGGTTCATCGATTATAGCTGGAAACTCTACGAAAACTTCATCAAACACTTTCCAAGAGGTAGGGCGCAGAGGGTGCAGATGAAATGAAAAATGGCATGGTCTCGCTCCGCCGGCTGTCCCTTATGTCGCCACGTTAATGTTCAAAGACCTTCGAAGATTGATTTCTTTCTTAATTTATGTATTTATCACGATGGAACTTGATACTTATGATGGCACTTGTATTGTTGATTTGTAAGCAGTGCTGAAGCACTATGGCGGTCAGGTTTTTGAAGACTATGGCGATTAAATGAACTAGGGACTCGCGGTTTGGTAAAGGGGACGGCTATTATACGATCCGCCCACGCTCGTTATCTCAGCGCGCGGCACGTCTTGATTAGTCTTCGTGGTTAGTTGCCTCGCCTCGCGGCAATTCGCTCGAAAATAATGTCCGCTGCACTGGACAATTGCCTTTTTGCACTTTACAGCTAATTTTTGGGCTCTTTTCGTTTTTGTAGGCTTATTTGACATAATTTTGAAGAAAAATTTTCACTATGGAAAATATCCTTCCATCATTTAGCCATAATGGGTTCGATACCACCTTTTATATAATTAACTTTATTCCATCATTCAACTAACAGAATGCAAAAGCGTAAAAAAATAGGAAGTTCAACAGCCTAACGGGCTAATGATGAGATTACTGAGACTTTGACGAGGATCTTCTTTTCATTTGTCTTGAATTTTTTTCCAACAAAAATGTATAATAAATAGGGATTTTTTCTAGACACACACAACGGAATTAATCGAGAATGGTCGCGATGTGCGAGTGACGGAGGCCAATAAAGAGGAGTACATAGAAGCCGTCGTCAACTGGCGTTTTGTGAAACGTGTCGAGAAACAAATGGAACAAATTTTAAGAGGTTTGCATGAGGTAAGGTTTTTTGTCCTCTTCCACTTTCGTAGGAACTTAAGGCCGTGCATAGTTTTTTCTGCTTTTATTCGGTCAGTAGTTGTGGCATGACAACATTCCTTTGGAAAAGCTTCATTGCTGCTGTGCTTTTGTAATTGTGTCGAAGTTTTTCTTTTACTTCCGATTAACCTAACGGACTACTCATCACTTCAAGTTAAGATCTACTCACTCAACTAACAACTTTTATTCACCCAAATAGAAACTATCCCATGCTGGTTATTACTGAAAAGTTTTTCGCCTATCACGTACACTCATGCATGCGCATGCCCCACTAACTCATGCTACATACTTGGCCACTTAACCATTTTTTTATTACAAAGGCGCCTTCGCACTCCCAAGCAAAAATATTGAACATTCTCATCGAATATTAGAACACCGTTTAGGTAGTGCCAAGCAATCTGCTTCGGATATTCGATGCCAATGAAATGGAACTGCTCATGTGTGGATTGCAAAAGATCGATGTTAAGGATTGGAAAGCTCACACAGTCTACAAAGGCGGTTATGGACCGAGCAGTCAAGTGGGCATCACAGACTTGCATTATATTTTGTCATTCGAAAAACACTTAGCAATAATTCCGCAATTCATATGAAAATTAAGGTTATTCACAACTTCTGGAAATGCATTCTTTCCTTCGATAACGAAATGCGAGCTCGTGTGCTACAGTTCGTTTCGGGAACGTCACGGGTACCGATGAATGGATTCCGAGAGTTATATGGTAATTGAATGATAAGTAGAATTTTCAATTTAACTTTTTTCTATCAAAGGAGGCCCAATTTACCAATGTACTACCAGTGAAAGTTGGCTTTCATTATAATTTGAAGTATCCATACGGCTGTCGTGTCACCATCACATCTAAGAAGCGTTTCCAGATCACAGAAGACTTTACTGGTCTTTCCATGGACAGAAGGGGCTGCTTTTTGAGTTCACAGATGTGCCTTAAGACCGTGCGTTCGACCGACCGAGGTGTTGTTTGTTATGTGTTGACAACACTGGACGCCGATGGATCCGAATCAATGTTGTCAACAAGTGGCTGGCGCCGTCGTCGGTCGGTCGGTCGGACGCACGGTCGGAAGGCTCACCGGTGAACTCAGAAAGCAGCCTAATGCGGATTGTATGTCACCGCCGCGTGCGGTCGTGTAGCGGATGCCGATCATCTCACGACGCGTCTCTCACACTGACCGCATTCCAGGAAACATGCATTTTGCTTGCATAATTCATGTTCATCTATTTTTCCGTGGGGGAGAAGGGGCGGGAAGTAAGAGAAGATGGTGATTTCTTCCTTCCAAATCTGGTTACCAACTGAACTTCTATCTTTCTTGTATCTTGACTACTAATATAACCCATTGTTCAGGTTCTAATGGACCACAGAAGTTTACCATTGAGAGATGGGGTAGTTCGGACATGTTACCCCGGGCTCATACATGGTAAGCTGCATTTCCCTTCAAGCTGGAATTTTTTAGTCTTCGAAGAATCGTTTCAGTTTCAACCGACTCGACCTCCCTCCATATCAGACATTTTCCGAATTGAAGCAAAAGCTGTGCACGGCAATCGAGAATTCGGAGATCTTCAGCGGTGTCGACTGAACGAACCATCTGCGAACTATCGCTAGCAATCTATTGCTCGCGACCAGTAGTTGTAAAAAGTGATTCGCAAAGTTTTGCACGAGCCGTGATGTACAGAATGTTCACACTCAACAAATGAATGTTTACGCGGTACACGTTGTGATGAGAGAATAAAACTGGTGTAAATTGTGCTAATAGTACCTCTAAAATGCTGTAAAAATGGTGTTTTCAAGTAGTCGCCCACATCATTTTTGAAACTTAATTCTTGTTGTCTTGCTTTACCTAAATTTTGACTTGTTGATGAAGTACTCTACTTTGAACGGTTTCATGCATCTATTCAGTTCTAGAAACGCCATCGGAGAGAAGATTGATTTGCAGATTACCGATAGGGCAAAACATTAGCTCTAGAAAGGTCATATTTGGCGGAGAGTAAAAACGACTGGATGGCCCACTTGGAACCGCAAAATTTGTTAAAATCACTCGAAAGTTGCTTCCAAGGACCGATTGAGAATGCATAATATCTGTACGACTTCCGGCGCAGTTACGAACGTGCTAAGCAGGGGTGGAAGTTTTGTTTGAGCACTTTCAGTCGCCGAACTGCTGAAAATGAAAGGCGGCGTGAAGGACAGGACTTCTCGGGTTTTCTGCGTATCTTTCTGGTTCCTCCCCATGGGCGTTCTTTACAGCATTAACGCTTTTTTTCTTCTTTTGGTTGGTAGTACATCTATTATTTGTTTGTTGTGCTTTTGAAGTGTGGGCTGTGCTCAACATCCATGAAACTTCATTGTCACTCTGGCTTGCACCCAGCTGGAACGAAAAAACGAAAAACTTCGTTCAACTGCTTCTAGGTGAGCTGAAGCTAATCATTATTTTCAAGCAGCTGACTGCTGAGTTGGTCATTTCATAATTAGAAAAACAGCAGTTTTCATCACATCGTCATATGCCACCAGGCTGGCGCTTGTCCAAGGCCATACGGCTCTTTCCCACAGCAAGCAGATCACAAATATGGGGCATTCTCCAAAGGCCTTCGAAAGGTATTCATGTGGTCATCTCCAGGAAAAGAAGAGGTTTGATTGACCAACGAAGCTGAATTCATAAGAAGAATTTCAAATGTATTGCTTTGTCCCATTTAATAACTAGCCTCAACCAGATAGTAGTTGCCGTCGTCTCGAACACTGCCTAGAAGCCAAAAACTGGTAAATCGAAGCAACAAATTTTAAGATAGGATGGAGCAAAGCCAGCTGCATCGGAAGTGTGTTTACTAGATGGGCAGAAAAATCATGGACCGGTTAGAAAACAACAAAACACGAAAATTGAAGTGGGTTGTTCGTGTCAGAGGCAAAATGATCGTACCAGACGCGTTTGGAGATCCTATTAGTGGGACATGCTTCTGGAGGTTTGGCAAGACTGGTCAGTTATGGGTATAACGCCGGGTTCAAGAAATAAAATAGGAGAAGGTCTGGGAATGAAAAATTGTCGAAATTTTTTTCAGTCTTGCTTCAACTATAACAATCACATATGTTAATGGAGACAAATCTTTACAAATTGCTGCTTTCTTTGATCATAAGAAAAAAAAGAATGAAAAAAATGGAAAAAAATGAAAAATCATGCATCATATTCCAGAGCAATGACTCATATGAAAACGTGCACAAGGATGATGAACAGAGGTAGAAGAAAAATAACAACCCTACGAAGAATTGCATTACATACTTAAACATTCAAATACCATACAATATCCTTGCCAGCTAGACACATACAATAACAACAGAACGGACTTCTAACACACGCCGTTCCACCGCAATTACTGTCCGTTTATGAGCAGTTCTGTGAACCAAACATACCAGTCGAAGATATACCAAAGTGAAACAGCCAACAAAATCTGAAAGACGTGGGCAAAATGTATTGAAAAACAGTAGTTATCAAAACCCTATGGTAGCGAACATAAAATACTAAGCAAATCCCATAACGGCAACCGGTCAAACGTCATTCAAGGAAAAGAGACCAAAGTGAAGTCCGATGAGGGGGTATTGACATGTTGCAGATAGAGGAATGCGAAAAATACCGTTAATTGACTGCCATACAATAGCCTTCCACTATCTCATTTATATAAATGCACTTCAAGTTGCTCCCGTTTTTACTGCTCTCACTTGATAACAAAACCAGTAGCCCCATCATTCAGGGCATCAGTACTACACCTGGAACGGGCTTTCATGTAATGAAACCCTCTTAGCACCCCATGGAAGCATGGCCTGGTGAGATACTAAGCTTGAAACAGTGAAAAGAGAAACTCAAGCATCTGTTTCATCTTATACAAAGGTGCCCGCTACAAACCTATTACTCTTGAACTGTAGGTGAGATAGGAATCGCATGTAGTTCTCAGTTACCGGAATTATACTCCTTATTAGTGTTCGAACCGTCTCCTTATAAACCAACTCTTAGCACCCCATGGAAGCATAAGATGATGTTATAGTAAACGTACCATGCCACAGCAGTTTCCTGCGAAGTCAAGTATAGGGTGCTCTTCGAAGTAGGCTTCGGCAATTTCAAGCTCCTGAACTTATGACTGGACATCGACACATAATATCACATTATCATGTTTACCAAAAAAAAAATTGCATTAATAAACCCGTACAGGCTAACTACTACAAGAGTGGGTGCGCTTCGTTGCGCGCGTCCGTCGGAACTAGGTCACGCCGCAGCCGC